CTCTTATATAAAGTGCAGTCAAATGACTCCGTTCATCTGTTATGGTCCAAATGTCTGAGTGCCTTATTGAAATGTTTGCATTCAAGCTATACATGGCTCATTCTACACCCAGCACAACGTTTCTCTCCCTCCATCCTGCTAAAAATTTGAGGTTTGAGTCAACGCCTCAGCAAGGCTTTGTAAGACCAAATACTGTGGAGCCTTGGTGCAGCAGCCCTGCCTGCAGCCTGAAGTATGGGGAGGGGAAAAAGCCAAGGTAAAATGAGAGTGGGATGTGGGAATGGATGTGGACATGGAGAGCTGTCAGGTCCTCAGGGACCCTGGCACAGGACTTTTCGACAAAGGAACAGGCCATGTTCAATGTCTTGCAGAGGCCAAAATACTGTTTTGAAGTACGTGTATCAATTAAATCATCAATAATTATGAAAGGAACTCTGAATGCCTACTAATCAAGTAGGTGCCGACACTGCAGCCACCCAGGGAAGGGCTCATTTGTCTAAATATAGGCAGTCGTCCACTACAGAAAATTTCTAGTCTCTGTTTATTCTTGTGCCATGTTTATAACCTGTCTTAGATACTACGTGGTGACTCCAGCATCACACAGTGCGCTTATCCCACCCATCTTGCCTTTAGAGACAGCAGGGTATCAGACAGAGGCCAGGTGGGACGTGCTATGGTACGTGTGAAGGCTTTCCATCAAAGATGAGACCACTAAAGGGCTTTGCTGGCTTTGGGAAACAATGTGCCTTGTATGTCCAGAGTTACTCAAACTCCTTTTCAGCAGAAGAGCCCAAAGAAAATACAGCAAGTACAGCTGTTCTAGCAAAAGGAGTTCGGTTTGTGGTTACACTCTTGCCTCCTAATTCACTCTTAAATGCAGGGCCCTTGTTAAGCCATGGAAAGTAATCTCTGTGGTCAGGGAACGTGTTTTTATGGCCTCCAGAGGGAGAATGCAAACAGAGCGTGCTTCAGTTCTCTTTGTGTCTCCTCGAACACGTGGAGAGCATCCTTCCCATCTTTACACATTTACACCTTCTCACATTAGATCAGCCAGCTGCGGCTGTAAATTTTACCTTGCCACAGGGCACAGGCGTCAGGTCCCAGACACAATATCACTTTGTCCACCAGTTTCTCGCTTGCTCCCTCTGTGTTTACACTGTACATGTGCTAATCCTATCCCACCTTCTCTTCTAGACCGAAGCATGTGTTTTCCCCAGGTAAAGCCAGAGCCCAGCAGAGGGACAGTTCACACCAGAGCCCACCCCAGACAAGCCATGTAGAGATGTGTCGGGCTGCTTTTGTCTCTTTCAGCTCCAGCTCTGTTGTAGCCAGCTCTGCCCTCCCCATGCACACACTTCCCTGCTACTCCCCAGTGTACCCAACACATCTCGTCTTCATGCTATAGAAAACAACTCTCTGCCAGGCTTAAAAAAAATAATTCCTACTACCTCAATCGTTTTGAGCTGAAAAACAGTACAAATATGTCCTCAGGCACGGAACAAAGAGCCCATCCAAACCGAGCACCATGAAGAACAAGGTTAGTGAGTGCGCTTTGTGTGGTGCTCACTCTCAGTGGTGTGAATGTGAGCTGGTTCATGTCTTGGCTGCGTGGAGTGGTCCACAGAGCCACGTTCAATACAGCAGGTCTGATGATGAAAGGATACATGGTTGAGTTTTCACCCTAGGAATGCTGGTGATATTGAAGCTTGATGAACACAGCAGGTCTGATGGTGAAACTCGACAAATGGTTGAGTTTCCACCCTAAGAATGCCAGTGATACGATAGCTTGATCCCAGCCTGCCTGAGAAAATGATGATGTTGTTAAAAGGCAGCATGGGCACTGCTTACCTTGGAAGAGATTGGGTGCCTGGTTAAATGAACATCAGGTCTTTGCAGCTCCATGTTGAGAGCTGACTGACAGGGAAGGTGCTAAAGCAGTCAAAGTCACAGCCTTCCCTGTTGTGCATGCACAGGACCAGCATGTGGCTGAAGAAGAACGAGGAGATTTGAGTTCTCTTCACTGTCCTGAGGAGAGGGACTGGGCAGGACTGTGTTTTCAACAGGTCAGCAGGGAGAAAAGAGGAATTTGGTTTTGAATTTTTGGGCACTCCAAGTAAAAGATGCTGTGAAACTCCAGAACATTTCAGGAAGGCCACAGTGGACGTCAAAACTTGTTGTATAGCACAAGGGATACCACCCCATGCAAGGCCCCTCATGCACAGTCAGTTGCTCAAAGCCTCCCTACGTAGTCAAAATTACACTTTGATCCACTTGGATCTTAAGAGAAATGAATGACCAAATAAATGAGTGGAAGAGGAAGAGAGAAAGAAAGAGGAAGAGAAGAATAAGGGAGGGAAGGAAGGAAAAGAGGAAGGAGAGGAAGGAAAAGGGAACAGGGGAGGGAAGAAGAGTGGGGGGAAGGAAAGAACTCTGATGAGTTTTAGAGGATTCAGTCTAAAATCTGTTCCTTGAGCACAAAACTGAGCACGAAGCAAATACTTCTACTTGTAGCCACCTTGCAGATAACATGCAAAGTGTTATGAATAAACACGGCTTTATTGGGATTAGCTATCAAGTGAGGAATCAACCATACAAATACCAACCAGGAATTACTGGCCAGACTCCCTGCAAGCGGGAGGAACCCAGGATCAGTATCAAAGCACCACACGCTGTGGCTCAACAGCCTGTGGGTATTGCGAAAAAAGCAAACCTCACCTGAGACTTCTGGAACAGGAGGTCCCCCCATGTACGAGATGTCTCTGTCTTTTCCCAGGAGTGCTGAGGTCTCTGCTGCACATCAGTG